TTTATAATAATATACTATTATTTGGTAGGGCAGATTTTCTACTCTGCTAGAGTTCACAGTTAAGAAGACTTAATGCTTTGCTTATTGCATTTAATCCCACTATATTGAGATTATGTTGTTCTGCCATATTTATTAGATTAATGTGATATAGCAGGCTCTTCCGCAATCATGTTGGCTCAAAAATGTTTCATGAGAAGAATCTAGGTTTTTTTGTTTGTTTGTTTGTTTTTTAAGAGATCACCTTTTGGATCTTACCTCACTTACCTCAAAAAATATGGTGAAGTAAGCAGATTGTGTTGCTTGCCTGGCAGCATTTAAAACCAATTTTTGGGGTTGGTTTTCTGATTTAATTTCTGAGTCAATGACATAATAAAGTAGCACATAATTGCTAATTTAAGCTGTGCTTTGAGAATAGTTTACTCATTGTTAGAGGATGACTGAGGTTTTTTTTTTTTTTTGGTCTTTTTACATCGAACTTACTGAAACCATAGTCATGCCCTCTGCTTAGATCTTTTCCAAATCCGATTCAGCAAACCTGATTGATACCTACAGAATTCTGATACCGCAAATCATAGTGCTTCCAACAACTTTACACTTGAAAAGTGTTAGGGTGGTAGTGGGGATGTTGATGGTGATAATGAAAGTGGGCCAACCTTATTTGACTGTTTGCTTAGTACCAAGGATTTTACCTGTGTTAACTACCCTCGTACATATTTTTTTCCTTCTTGTTAAAGTGAATCAATTATCCATCTTCCTGTGGAAAGCCAATCTTATATGCGTGTGCTGGATCCCGTCCTAGACCCGTTTAAGGCTATTACTCTAGCAATTCTTTCTTTCCCACATTGACAATTTTCCCCACTTCCTCTGCTGGATTAGTGTCGTCTGTATGTAGGCACACTGTTTCATTGAAACATTAAGGAAAGTTTTTTTGATTCCATATTTTTGTCCAGCTATAGCTCTATTTTTCTGCTTTTCTTTTACAGCAAAATTTTTTAAGGAAAATATTTATACTCATGGTGTTCATTTTCTGTCTTCTCTTTCACTATTGAACCCACTCAAATCAGGCTTCACACTCTTCACTTCTCTGCCCAAACAACTTTTGTCAAGGTCACTGGTGATTTGTACTTTGAAGAATCTTACTTGACTT